ACTAACTAATTTAATAATTCCAAATTTAAATGAAAAGGGGGGGGGGTGATATCTATCATAAAAGACTAGTTTCTACCAAAATGTAAAATTTCCCTAGAAATTCTGAACAATTAATTAAGTATATGGCTGTGTGATGTGTGTTATGGATAAATGCCAGTGGTTCGCAACAAAAAGGATAACATGTATCCCATAGACCGAACATGATATCCAAACCAGGTTAATCTATTACAAATCCTCCGATAAGAGTAAAAATTCAACTACCTTACAGAAGTAGGCTGGAAACGAATCCCTTGTTTGTTGATCTTCCCCACTCGAATAGAAACCAAAGGTATGCAAAAGCACCTCGCCAGCAAACCAACTTCCGATGGCTCAAAGTGCTGAAAATTTATGCAAACAAATCAAATTTAACACATATAATCCTCCGATTTTAAATTTACTAAGCAAATACAGATTTGAGCTAAATTTTCATGTTAAAGTTCGATTAGAAAGGATAAATAACATAAACTTCAGATTTATCAATATACCTGACTCAAATGTGCCAACAATCGATCCTCGGCAACGCCGTTTGAGGCATTGACTTTCAACAAAGGCTTTAACCTTTCATCGGTTCGACATGCGCCGATTAGTTGCATATCCAAAGCTTGTAGCCACTGCAACACCCTATCCTCTCGATCGCTTTGTTGAAGCAACAAATCCCCGTCGTTCTCCTCCACAAATATGTCCGTTAACCGTTCCGTGAGTCCTATTCCGTTCCTCACCTTACCGTTCTGTCTCGACGTTGTTCCAGATCCAACGTTAGAGGTCTCAACAACGCTGGTGATCGAGGACGACGCGTCTGTCGATTCGATTGACTCGTCGTCACTTCGATCCACGCGATCGTCAACAAATTCTCCGTTTCTAGAATCAGACATCTTAGAAATCAAACAATTAGAACAAAAAAATCACGAGAAATCAAATTCTTCGATTGATTAAGAAACTATAGATTCGATTTACGAAAAGAAATATGTGATCAAAAGCGTGAAAATCGAAGAGATCGAACGGAGAAAACTTCGAAGGAAGCGTTGTTTGGAGAGAGAAAGGACAATTTTAGAGAGAAAAGAATATGCCCCCTTCACAAAAATGGTAATCAAAGGTTAAAGAGGCAGCCTGGAATTTGCTATATAGAAGGAAAAGACGGACATCAAGGTGCTATTAGAATACCATTAATTGTTCTCATTTGAGATCCGTGTTTGGTTTGATTAGGTTAGTCACTTATTTTATTTTTCGGATAAAATATATAATAGGTCCTTGAAATATAATGAAATGATCATTTTATCTATTAAATTTTAAACAATTATAAAACCATCATTGAATCTATCAAATGATCTCAAAATTATCATTAAATTATATCAAATTATTCAAAAGTTTCATTAATTTTTACAAGTTGTTGAAAAATATTATTAAATGTATTAAATTTTATTAATAATATAGTGTTTCATTAAATTATCATTTTATTAAAATGAAACTAAATAAATAATTCTATTAAATATTGAAATAAATTTTTTAAAAGGTAAATTAGACAAAGATTTGGATAAATGGATGCAAATATGTTATCCAAACAAAATAAATTAATTAAAAACATATTACAATTAGCTGACCCTATTCCCATATGTAATGGGATAAGGGAAGGTAGGATAGTAGGCTGCCCCAACGCCAGGATGAGAGCAGTTTCCGTGGAAGACCTCCTGCAGTCAGAATTATGAATTGTCCATCGTTGGATGACATTGAATAATGCATATTTAATAATTTAAAACATATTAAGTATGCACTATTCAATGTCATCTTTAAACAACTAAAGGTGTTAGATTCTAAAATTTTACCTAATAGAGGAACTAAAACCATAATTAAACCTTTATAATTTATTTATTTGGTTAAGGTCCGTTTGTGTGGCTTTCTAAAAAATATTTTTAGATAAAAATCACATTTGGACAACAAAATTAATGTTAAATGAGTAAAAAATGAAAAAAAATTACGGTGAAAATGATGATTCTAAAACAATAATAAAGTAGTGTATGTTTTAAATATTTTCAACTATTTAACAATAAATTTTCAATTATCCTACTGTAATTGTCGGTATTTAAACATGTGACCTATAATAACAATAATAATTACTTTTAACTATCGAGATAAATTGATTCGTAATAATTTTGTTTAAAAAAACCACGTGGGCTTTATATTTTCCTAGTTGCGTGGGTCCCACTAAAACAGAAAAAGCCACGTCACGGGGGCAGGGCAGTGATAGTTAAGTGTGATTTGTTTGTTTGTCGATCTGCTTGGGACCCGAGAAAAGGAAAGAAAATATCAGAAGAAAAAGTAGGAGCGATGATAGATAATTTAGCTAACGGAAAATGACGGGTTCAAAATAGTTGTGTTGATGGGATTTTTTCCCTAAATTATCATTTTTTTATTATTGTAGTCATTAATTTTTTAAGATTAAATAATAGTTAAATTTATAGATTTATTATATAAAAAAATATTATCATAATATTATAAAATAATCATTAAATTTATTAAATTTTATTATTTTCATAACATTATAATTATCATTTTGAAACAATGTAATAACTTTTTGTTAATTTTTAAAAATTTAATGATCAGAATAATACATAAATCATATATTAGGGACTACACATGTACTTTTACCTTTTTTATTTGAAATAGAAGAGGAGAAGATTCAAAAGTGAAGGACTGACAAAATGGTAATTAGTGGGGTCATTAAGGTGACTTAATTGATAGTTGAAGGAACACATCCAAACAATATTCTATACATAACTGAATTAATGGTGTAAAGGGATGTATTTAATCACCTCGTGGTAAGGACGACAGACGAGTATAATTTGTTGATTTCGTACTGAAATGTGTATAAGTTTAATGATAGTACATGCGTGTGGATATAAAAAATTATATCTGACGTGGGTAGTGGCTAGGTGATGAATTTGATACATTACCTGTTCTGCATCTACCCTCCCCACATCTACACGTCCACTAATTATATTCCACATAAATTTGGGATCATTGTGAATTTAGGTATAATTTTAAAGATTATTGTATAAATCTTAAGATTCAATAGGACATAAATTGTAATTTAACCAAATGTTAGGTATAAACTTGACATGAATCGGAGTTTTAAAAAATATGATCCTATAAAATTAGGTCAAAATTTATCATGTTCGAATAAAATGACCGTCCTTACATAATAGTCGAGTGACTCAACAAAGCAACATTCTATAATCAAAAGACCATTTTGTAACTTTTAATAGTCAAGTGATTTATAAAGCAATATCCTATAATCGAGAGATCATTTGTGTACTTTAACATTGTTTTTATTGGATTTGATGAGATGTTAATCAAATAACTCATCGACTTACTAAGATAATCTTATCTTCTTCTTTTATTATTATTATTATTATTTCGGGGTAAGTATAAGACAATATCAATTCAAAGATAACTCTCAACCTTTCAATATTGAACGCTCACTTCCCTGGCATCTATGGTGCTCGAATTCTAATCCTCAAGAAACAACATCAATTCCTCTACCACGGAGGCTACGTGTTCGTGCAAGATAATCTTATCTTAACATACAAATAATAGAAATTTTGTCCCTCGTAATATTTGATTGTTTTTAGTATAAAAATTCACTTGTGAACACAGTATCAAGCATATATTTTTAATTTTAAACACTAAAATGAAGAGTCAAAACGACGTAGGGATATCTTGCATTGTTCGGAGAATGCGAACATTAAGTTGAGGAACTAACATGAATTTCACCATCTTGGACTGTATTCTGAGACTGAATTTTGCCTTCACCATCCATATACAGATCATGGTTTATAAGTTGCAACACGGAGATAACTCGGAGACGATCGGCTACCGCTCTTTTTCGAGTTGAGACACACACTTCATCGTCGGTCGGAACTTTGGGTCCAACCGTAAGCAAGCGAAGGCAATCGTAGCAGCAAAAACAATATCCTTTGCAACTCTTGGATCGCTTGGAAGTGGTAGGCGTGGATCTAATACATCACTCAACATTACGTTGGAAGATAATGTTTAAAGTGATGCCAAGAGGAACTTATAATTAGGGATGTTAACAGGTGCCGATGAAGTTTCTTCAAGGCAACGATCTTCCCACTCGGTAACCGTGCTCTATAGACACTACCGTAACCACCGGTGCCGATACAATATCGGATGTCGAAGTCATTTGTCGCCTCAATGATGTCTTCGAATGCTATTCTTCCATCGAAGTTCCAGATCGAGAATAAATCTCCATTTCTTGTGATATTTGGTTTAGGGATGTTGTTTTTTTCACTACATATGAAAAAGAGGTAAACTAGTGATGATATCAAGGCTATACCACCGGCGTATGGAAGAAAGGTCAGGAGCAAAAGAAGCGAGGCCATGTTTGATGATAGCATACGTTAGTGATTTCCACAGGCTTATCCATCAGTCCAATGATAGACAAGTTCATGATAAAATTGGACGAATAGGCAAGACGGATAAAAAAAATTAGTTTTTTAGACCATCTCTAAAATTAATTAGTATCTACGATATTTGTTATAATGACTTGAAACTTATCACGTCGACCTGATAATTTTCAATAAAATATATTTTTTATTAAAATTTATCATCTAAACATGAAAAAATTTAATAAAAAAAAATGATTCGAGTAAACTCGTGAGGAGTTTACCCTACACATTAACATTGATTTCTTCGAGAAATTAAAGATTATAATTACTTGTTTAACTAAAGGTGATAAGATTCAGCATGATACGATTATATAAAATAATTAAAAAAATCAAATTATAAACTTGTCTAGAGGATTCTTTAATATTATTTTTGGAAAATATTGTGAAAGAGTACTTCTAATTTTTTTTAAGAAATACTTTTTAAATTATTTAGGTACCAAATGCGTAGTTTTCCCAAAAGAAAGTAGGCATAAAATCATAAAATTAGTTCGCAAGCTAGAAAACTGTCTTCTAATCCTCGGGCAAAGCTCATTCAGTTTAAAATCCTCAAACACAAGACCAATAATGTTATGAACCTATCAGAATTCGCGGGGTAACCAGTAACTTATGAGTATTAGGCTTACTATCTAGTTACCAAGATCACTTCTTTTTCTTTGGTTCTGCTGCATAATCATTTACTAGTGCTTCGACGTCTTTCCAGAATAGGCCCTCCACCAATACTCCGTCCTTGGTGAACCTGCAGTATTTTTACAGGTTAGAAATGTAAATGGGGCAGGAAAGAGCGAAATTAGGCAGGGGGGATACCATTGGGTAACACTTTTGGTCAACTCGACCGTTTTCCCTGCAGAGATTGACTTGGGATCTGCACTCGCTATCGTAAGGGTATAAAGATCAGAGAATCTTGGCAACTTTGAGGAGACCACCAGACCAGTGCTGGTGACGGATCCCTGAAAGCACGGAATCAGTACTTAGATGTAGAAAACATCGAACCGCAAGAACTAGGTATATCATGTAGTGGATTTACTTCCTTAACTTAGTGATTTTGAAAGTTCCTTCTACCCACGGGCACGCAAAAAGCACCACACTACTAAACTTTCTTTTGGAAGACCATGTAGAGGCTTAGGCAATAATTGGGATTTGTTTGTGTTGAGTTTGTGCCGCAACATCATTGACCTTGGGAAATATTCAAGAAAAAAGGAGTCTATGGATTGGATGCTAGCCATTGTTCCACCTCATTACTTTGAGCATAAAACATTGATAGACTAAAAAGGTAACATTGTAATAAGGATGAAATGTAATAGTTTAACCATAAAGAGAACGCAACAAAAGTAGATATAGTCCTAAAGCTCCTTTTTCTTCAATTTTATTTATGATGCAAATACTTTTTCAACATTCCAATAGAAACTTGAACAGAGTGCTAGATGGCAATGAATTCGCATTAAAAAGTGCCATCATGCATTAATACTAATAGCCAATATGACAGCAGAGTTTGATGGTAATATCATGAATCAGTAACCATGCAAATATTGCGGAAAGTTCAACATCACAGGCTTAAACACGTCAAGAACAATGTCCAAACTTATCATACATGAAGATGATCTTCGCTTAAAGAAAAAGAAATCAACATATAACATGAGCACAATATATAACATAAGGAAATATTTAATTATAAAGCAAAGAACTTACAGCAGGAGGATAAGTAAAGAGAATGGCATTCTTTTCCTTTGTGTACATGATCAGCTGGAGTACTCCATTGAAGACTACATATTTTCCAGCGTCAAGGATCATAGAAACATGAAAGAAATATAAAAGATTACACCCTTTATTTGCCCTAAAAATCAGGGGGAACGTGGAAACTATGTTAACACCATCTAGTTCTGAGTGGTAGGTACATTCTAACCAATTGTTTTCCGGTTTTAGCATTATAAACTAAGACGAAAAGATTATCATTGTTTTGGCCTCTCTTCACAAGTAGGAAAAAAGCCAAATGTCGAATCAAGGTAAGGTGAAGGAAAAGGGTTCTTCCTCAAAGCTCTTAATCATTTAATTTTAAAATAGTGCCAAATAGATGAAAATTTCAACAAAACTTAGTTCATAAACAAAAATTCCACATACTCAGTCTAGTAGCTGCTTTCACTGCTCAGTTTTACATCTAGAAAAAAAAGGTCCATTTGATTACAAAAGCTAAAATATTTTTAACTAAATAAATTTTAAATTTTAACCCTTTTTTGTGAATAACAAAGTACCTAAATTCCAATTTTACTTTCATATGGATAATTATGATTAGATCTGTATCATACTTATAATACTGCATCACATAACTACTTGTTTCTATTAAATAACCAAAATTAACAGCCAAACAGAGCGTAATTATTAATCTAGAAATTACAATAGTGAGGAAAAAGGATATAATCCGATGCAACCGATGAGGAAATCACGGTTTTCGGGGAACTTCTTTTTGTAAAATTGAGCAACAAGAGCGATTACAATAATAACAGTTCCGATCAATAACCTGATATTGCTCATCCTCAAATCTTCAACATGTCCACGACTCTTAACCATCTGTTTAAAATTATCAAGAGAGAAAAACAATTACACAAAAATTAAACTGTAATTGCGAAAACTAACGGATCTAGGGTTGTTTTGATTCGTTTTCTTTTTCAATTAGTCTTACCTCGGAGACGGATTCATCGAGGATGTGTTTGATGGAGCTGTGATCTAAGAGATTCGCCTTCTTCGCGTTTTTATTTCCCGTTTCTGCCTTCTTCTCTGCCATTTTTGTTTCTAAGGAAATGGCGCAGCGGATTTTATGAGACGGGAGGAGACTGCCAAAAATATCGAAGTCAAGGCTTATATGAGTGATCTCACGGAGTGTTTAACCGACGCGTTTAGAAATTTTAATATTTTCAAGGATAAAATACACAAATGGTCCCCTGACTATAGAGTATTATTTTATTAAGTTCCTCAATTATTAAAAGTTACAAAATGAACCCATAATTACAAGTCAATTCTTTGTTGAGTCCTTAGTGTTGGCTCTTACAATCAACCGAAAACCGCCAAGAGGGGGTGAATTGACCTTTAAAAATCTTTGGTGTGGAAGCAATAAAATATAAGAATTAGACGCAAGATTTATAGTGGTTCGACTTTCTCAACCAAAGTCTATATCCACTTCCTTAGCTCCACACTAAGGATTTCAACAAATTCACTGATATGTTCTTTCTTTTTCTAGGCCCAAGAGTAACATTTACAATTCTCTAGCTTTTCAAGGATAAACTATAACCACTCCCCTATTGTAAAGGATAAGAAATGTAAACAAGAAACCTCAAAAAGTAGGTCTTTACAAAGATTTAAGCTCACAAGAATAAAAACAAAAGATATTCAATTAAGCTTATACACTTATGTACAAGAGAAAAATGGAGGAAATAGGAATGAAAACTATTTTCTCTTGATCTTTAAGCTTGGATAGGTGTAATAACCTTCTTCAAGTGTCATTGGAGAGTTTTTATTGTGTGGAATGAGTTGCTAGCCGTTTATAACCGTTGGGGATGAGTTATAGCCGTTGGGAAGCTTTAAAAACATGCAATAAAGGTCACAAGCGCATGTAGTTTTGAAACTTTTTGAAAGTGTCGAAACTTTTAAACACGCTATTCTTCAAAGTTTCAAAATTCTTACTTAAAAAATATGACCGTTCAAGAAAATCGGACCGTTAAAACAATTTCTGAGTACAAAGTTTCGAAACTTTTGTAAAGTTTCGAAACTTTTAATAAAATTTTCAAAACTCTTACAAAGTTTCTAAACTATGAACAATATCCGTGTATGAACAGTGTCATGAACAGTGCCACATAGTGACTAAATATTGTTTTTCATATTTAAAAAAAGCTTTAAACATATTTTAATTAACTAAAAAATATTTCACATATATAAAGCAATTAAGAACAAATTATTTTCAAATTATTTTGGACTTTGAATTATTTTTAAAAATTTTGATTAAGTCCAAAATCAATTTTACAAATATTTGTTATATCAAAATATAAGTTCAACACTTAGACTATCAAAAGTTAGAAAATGGTCACAAAACTATTCATATATTCCAAATTCACCATTTTTGTTAAAAAATTGACGAACTATTTTGTTGTACATTAACATACTGATTCAGATATGATAAAATCTGATAGTAGAATCTTAAATGACTAGATAGCTCAAATGGTTTTGAGATCCGATTTTATTATATTGCAGTTAACAAGTTAACATCTAGTCCAGACGACTATTGTTTTTTTTTTAACGAAAAAGGACGATCAAAGGACTTTTCGAGATCAACTTTTATTGCAGACTGTAATATAATGGTGCATAAGCTTATAGGTCCGAGGGTGGTCCAATTTCGGGATAAGAACTAGAATTGTTTTATTCAATTCAGGTTCAGTAACACCTCCTTTAAAAATGTCTTGAATGAAATTGCAGACTGAAGGGCCAATGATTTGCCAATTTTTTTATAGAACTCAGCGTGTAACCCGTCCCAGCCAGGAGACTTAAGCAGAGCCATATTCATGAGAGCTTCATGGATCTCAGTTGCAGAAAGAGGGGTATCCAACGAGTGCACAAGGTGATCAGGAATAGAAAGTAAGTGACCTTTAAGAGGAAAACCGGCTACATTTGGGATATCATTGGTGAAGAGACCTTTGAAGAAAGAACACGCTTCATCTCGAAGAGCCTCATTGTCCGAGCACCACTCTCCATTAGGAAGTTTCAGGTTCAAAATTTTATTATTTTTCTTCGACAAGTAGCTCTTTGGTGGAAGTAGCGAGTGTTACAATCTCCATTGGTGATCCAATCAGTTCTTGATTTTTTCCTCCATAAGAGTTCTTCGTGGTCAAGGAGATTCTCAAGTTCAATAAGTAAATCAGCTTCCAAGTCAATGAGAAAACGACTCTTACGGATAGAAAGAGATTTCTGGATGCCCCTTAAGCGCACCATAATAATGCACTTTTTAGTGTCGATATAGCCAAAAACCTTTTTATTCAAGATATCAACGGCTTTAGAGAAGTTGGTGATGGTAGTCGACATGCACTCAGAGGGGATCCAATTGTCATGAAAATCTTCATGAGAATTCCAACCAGAGAAGTAATGAAAAGGGAGGCTGGGGGGGGGGAATGAGGCAGAGTTACCAACCTGGAGAAAGATAGGCCTATGATCAGAGCGTAAACGTAGTAAATGACGAACTTGAGATTCTGAAAAAGCTTCGTCCCATTGATCATTACAAAGAAATCTATCTAGACGAACGTTAGCTTTGCCGCGAGACCAAGTGTAATTAGGGCCTTGAAACCCATATCGCGAATACCATAATCATAATCAGAAATAAGGTTCTGAAATGTTGTACTCGGCTTGGTAGAATTAGCACAACCCATTCTATCAGAGGCTGTAAGAGTGGCGTTGAAATCCCAGAAAATAAGCCAAGGGAGATGGATAGAATCAGCCAAGTGTCGAAGATGACTCCAAAGAACAGCTCTTTTAGTAGCATTAGGACTTGCGTAAACAGTGGTCACAAGGAAGGATTTACCGACGTTTTTAGTTGTGACCCGAAGATGAATAAATTGGAAATCTTGATATCAATTCTCATGAGATAATTTCTATGCATGATATGCTTGAAGAGACGGGCAAGGATGTTGTTCGTCAAGAATCAGAAGACCCTGGGGAACGCAGTAGGTTGTGGAATTCCGAAGAAGTGTATAAAGTGCTCAAATATAATAAAAGTAAGTGTTACTTATATTTATATTTCTAATACTCTTTCATATGGTTTAATAATGGGTAGTTATGTCGTACTATAGTCTAGTTTAAGGCTAATAACGGTAGGGAATGTATATTTATCAGGTATGAATCTTATTGTGTAGGAATTACAACATAGCAACATAGAACAACTTTGGGATGAAAATGATTTCGGGTATGTGCTTTCATACTTTCTTCATCTATATTAATGAATATTTTTTAGAACAAATATAAAATATTTAATCTTATTTATTTTAAACATTTCAATTTCATCCTTAAATTATGGCTGTCATTCTAAATTAGTACACAAACTTTTGAACATTTTAATTTTATCCCCAAACACTACATCATAATAGAGTTTTAGCTGCGTTTTTTAGTCCTATAGCGGCGTTTTTAAGTGCAGCTAAAAGCACTCGCGGTGATAGCAAAAACGCCGTAAGAAACGCCGGCCATACTAGCGTCGCTAATGTTAGAGGCGTTTGTGAAATAAAAACGCCGTAAAAATCAAGATCTATAGCGGCATTTTTTGAACAAACACCGCAAAAGGTCGAGATCTATAGCGGCGTTTTAGAACAAACACCGAAAAAGGTTGAGATATATAGCGGTGTTTTTGGTACAAACGCCGCAAAAGATCGAGATCTATAGTGGCATTTTTGAAACAAACGCCACAAAAGGTCAGACCTATAGCGGCATTTTTGGATATAAACGCCGCAAAAGGTTAAATCTATAGCGACGTTTTTGAAACAAACGCCGCAGAAGGTCGAGATCTATAGTGACGTTTTTGGAACAAACGACGCTAATTACCATTCTTTTGCTAAGATTAATTGATATTTTGCATATTTCATTTCTGCTCTACATCACCTAAATTTAATATCATGTAACTTTATATAAATAACAACAACCATAAATTTTGACAACAAAATAAATTAAAATTTATAAACATTAAAATTAAATGTAATGTAGTTTGACATTGTTCTCTAGAATTTAGTCTAGGTTATTTCACTTTCAATTAAAAAAATATTATTCACTAGAATTTAGTCTTCATTGCTCCTTCGTGGGGAAAGGCAGTAAAAAAACAATTTTCCTTGTTTGATAAAGCATCGTTAAGTTTTTCCTCCGTGTAAACTGTATATGGAGAAACTCTTCATCCATTTCACCAAATAAATCCCCTAGTTCCGGTTCACCAAGAAGACTCCTTGCACGCTTCAATGCTTCACTTGAAACAGATAACGACCTTCCACCTACAATATGAAAATTGATTGGAGGTTGCTTGGGAACATAATCAAACATTAAACAAAAAAATTAAGTAAAAGAGAGAAGCGTTTACTTGGAGTAACAGTAGAGGTAGCGTCGTATTCATCGAGGATAGATATTGCTTTTGCCATTGAAGATTCTTTCAATGCCACAGATTTCCATAATCCAGTTCTAAACATCGGATATTTATCCACTCCTCTATCATCGTTCTAAATAAGCTTTGAATATCCTGCATACGATCTATGAAATTTGAGAGTACAAAATAAAAATATAGCGACAGAAAGATTCAAAGATTATTACCTTGAAGTAGGAGATCGACCATGGAAGGGTATGGAGCAATAGAAGTTCCTTTCGGGTTATCATCGGGTTTTGACGGCAAGAACGAACCGGAAGCCTCCCAACTATAATTTGATCCAGCGTCAGGGAAAATACGCCACGTGGACATTTTGATGATTTTGCTTAGGGATTGTGGATTAAATTTTCTGAAGTTTAATCCACAATCAATTTATCTTACTCTGTCTTTTGATGTTTCAACATTAGTAAACAAAAGTAAACACAAACCAAAAGCAAGCAAGAAAAACAAACATGCAAGAACCCAAGCTAAATACTAAACTCTCTTTCATATTGCTAAAGAGAGCATATCAGCTCATCAGAGAAACAATCAAACATAAAAGATACCATGTAAGTGTCCACAAGATTCATTTTTTCCCTGACTAGAAAATGGAATAGCATATTTCCTCCTTACACAGTATGATATGAAGGGTACATGAATTCACAGAAAACATAATGAGAAACATGTTGCGATAGGCATGTT